TGGCCGCGATAGGTCCTGGCCCAAACCATGAAAGCATTCATTGGTCGTTTTATATTTCCACTTTTGTTTCTACAATTCGCTCCTGGTGTTCTATAGGCCATCTTGGTACCTGGAAAGTATGATACAAAGCCATTAAAAATTCACTTTTCACTTTCGCCGTCATCAATGACATTGATCATGCCAACAAAAAATTATTTTGAAGATAATTCTGTGTAGCCACGGTGGCATGTATTGGATGGGAATTAATGCTCTCGGGGTTTTTCAGTCTGTTTCCCCGTGTCGGTGCAGTGTAGAATGGAGGGGAATGGAGCAAAACTGAGGTCCGTGTACAACGTTGCTGAACATTTAAAGAACCCTTTAGGAAGTTAAACCCCATGTCATTTCATTTCAGAATAATTATGGACGATTGCACATCTCTACTTAACTATAAAATTAAAAAAGATAAAAAAGGTTATTGTTATCTAAACTAACTGTGCGTGATATGCATTTTTCGGAAAATATCAAATTTCTCACGCTTTCTTATCTACGCTGCAATGTACCCAGAAAACAAAATACATGTAAAATAATCCCTCAGCTTGGATTTGAATGACACCATTCCCAAGCAGATTTCGTGAAACCTAAATATGTCCGAGGGTGCATGCGGGGTGCTCCTTATTTTTCACAATCACATGACGTCATCCTAGAATAAAAGGACATTGTGTCTACTGGCGATTATCGTAGATTGGAGCAGCATAGAGCGATCGAATTTCAATTGATCATTTAATCTGTTATAGTATTGAACGGAATAGAACCATATTTGGATTGATGTTTCTGTTAAAGATTCAACTTTTACAAAAAAAGTATAGTTTGGGTGGACACTTTAAATCCAAAAGTGTTGAATCACAAAATATTATTTCCAATATTTAAATTCTCATCCGATTTTTAATTTTTGTCCATCCAAAAAAAGGTCAAAAAGAGAGAGAGAAATGGGGTTTAACGTCCACTCGACACAAACTAGGTCATTTCGGGAGTAACATATGGTTTAATTTTATTTCCATGATTCGCTTGCGCGTAGGGGTCTTTAGCAGTGGGAGAAAACCGGAGGACCCGGAGAAAACCCACGAGGTTGGACAGGCGACCCTACTCCTTGTCACGTACAACAGGGGATTCGAAACCACGCCAGTTGACTCAATGACAGGCTTTATGATACAGCGCGCACGAGCTAACCATTCGCCCCCCCCCCCCCAACAAAGGTCAACGTTAAAGTGGACCCAAGTTGAGTTCAACATGGCCGCCATTTATAATTATTATAATCCTGATCCTAACCTTAACCCCAAGTTAAAAATAGACTCATTAATATGCGGGACGGTCATGTTGGACTCAACTTGGGTCCAATTCACCTTTTTGCCATCCAACAAATAATCGTTTTAACAAAGGAAGTACCTACCCGGGAGGACATTCGGTTTACTTCGGCCAGTCTTGGTAGTCTCATATTTCGAGGTAATGTCTTCGCCATTTTTAACAACAGCAGACGTCGTTGTGTGATGTTTGGTAGTTTCAGACGCCCCCTGAGTTATATTCTGTCCCTGTATTGTTAAACTTCGATTTAATTTTTCAAGGACTTCCGATCGGATTCTGCCATCTTGTTGTCTGTTACTAGTCTGGAGCATTTGATCAAACTGTTGTCCACTCAGTTTAACAGTGGTGTTTTTATCCGTGTTTAAATAAATGACTTGATGATCCTTGGCGCTGCCTGGGATATCGGTTAATTTACCATTATGGATAGTTTGTATCTTATCCGATGTCTTGCCATTTTGTATTATTATGTATTGGACGGATTGTTTGGATTTTGTGTCAGTGTTTGATGAAGAGGCTGGGGTCTCCACTAAAGATGCCAACATTGACTTCGGTTCATTTGTTTTGTTTTCGAAACGCGGCTTCGTGGAATCGACCCCTTTGGTCTTCATTTCTAGACTTTGTGATTCTGTATTGGTTTCAGACCCCCGCTTCACCTGCTCATTGGCTTTTGTACCTAGTTGTGAATAAGTTGCGTTGTTCGTTTTATTCCGGGCAACTAATCTGGCCCTACTTTGCCCGGGCATATTTAGGTTTTCATTGGATTTGCCAGTCCCTGGTTCAGGCTCCCCGGGCTTCCATTCTGTCAGGGATTGGTTGATTTTGATTTGTTGTTTCGCTTCTTTGATAAGTTTTGATGATTCAGATTTTACGGAGGATTTCTGGAAGTTTGAAGAATAAATCTAAATAAATTTAGTTTTTCGGTATATTTTACCTGTTTGATTAAGTCAAAATAAACTATTGACTTGAATAGATCTGATCGCAATTTTTTTTATGAATACTTAAACCGTCGACAGCGGAACACACAATCAGAGGGCCCCGAGTTCACAAAGCATTCTCAGACTTAAGTTAAGAATTTACTCAACTTTCATTCACTGTTTATGAGTAATATTTTTGACCCAGAAACACAAAACTTTATACATAGTTATTATTGATGTATTTGATACAATAAAACAACAAAAGTTTTATAAAGAGCTTCATATTTTAGTTAAAACAAAGCGAACAATTCTGAGTAAATTCTTAACTTAAGTCTGAGAATGCTTTGTGAACTCGAGGCTGCAGATAGGCTATATCTAAAGAAACGTTGGCTTGATTCATGGACGTAGCCCGTTGGGAGAACGGTCTTGTGTATCTTGATTCATGGACGTAGCCCGGTCGGAGAACGGTCTTGTTATCGACTGGTAAGGGCACTGGACAAAAAAGCAGAAGGTCGCAGGTTCGAACCCGACATTCGCTTCTCAGCGGTGGAGCCTATCCGGCTGACAAGGAACGTTTCGTAAGGCTGGCGCTGTTCCACGTCGCTCCATATGAGCAAAGCATTCGATTAACAAAACATTAAAACAATTTCCATCCCATTTAATTGATGGTAGGCTATTGATCTAGTCTATGGACGTGTATTTAATATGTTATTATCATTATTTTTATAGAACTAATAATAGACTCGGTAACCAAATAGATTAGCCTATATAAACAGATCTAATCGAAGGCTGTGTAATACATTTAGTTATTTAAATATCTGTACGCAATAAATCACCAGACTACTAGGCCTACATAGGGAACCAAAGTCAAACATTTCAGCAATTTAAATTATTAAGATAAGAGGACAGTGGACGTCAGATGGCTTTGAAAAAAGCTTATAGACATGGAGCATTGTATTAACCAGCGCCGAACAAAGTTAGGCTAAGCGATTGACGCCGCCCGTCCCTCAACCTGGCTTTACTCTAAACGCCGCCTTATCTCTAAAGCCAATGAATATACTACCTTTTTATTTTTCTCAGTGATTTTCTTTCCTTTGCCTTTCATCTTAGATCTTAAATAATTCTTCTGCAAGAAAAAAGGCAGCCACTTTCTCGATATAATAGGATTATGTAGCAACTGTTATTATGACGTCAGTATCATTGTGACGTTAATATGATTATGATGTCATTATCTATTTTTGCGTGAGACTAAATTTGAGTCTGCAATAAAACGGAAGGAGAGTGTTACAGATAATCGAGGAAGAAATGAAATGAAATGGGTTTTAACACGTCCTACTGTTCTGCTCCTAAACTGGGCTAATGAAGACGGGCATACGCCATACAGTGTGCTATGAGGGAAATTTTGCCCGGGCAGCGGCACTACGGCCTACTCTTATATCGAATTCCAACGTGCACGCCAATGTGTACACGGGACCTCGGTTTTTCCCCATCCGAACGACTAGACAGCTGTCCTTGTCAGGCCCTCCGTCCTGCATCACTGACAAGGGGAAACCACGCTGGAAAATCTGGATGAACTTTCTCGGCCATCGAGGAAGAAATGTCTTCACCGAATCAAAATAGTATGGCGCGTGATACCTTGTTGCTATTGTAGTAATGTAAGAAATTTTAATCCCTTCAAGTGTCTGTTCTTTCCGAACCTAGTTGGTTAACTCCGCCCCCTCCTCCCCCCCCCCCCCCCGCCCCACTCCACCCCACTCCACCCCACTGTCGAAAGACCCCGGCGCGTGCTAAAGCACGGGACTGGGGCTATGCTGGAGAAATAAAGACTGAATGAAATAACCCGAGAAAAAGAAAAACAGAGACCTCGGTTTTTCTTTTGAGGTTTTTTTTTCTGAAGTCTTTCTTTCCCAACATAACCGAAGTGGAGGACTTTATCTTGCTTGTAAACCGTATATGAGAATATAAATTGTAAAAGCTTTTAAAAGAATAACGTCAAATTCCCCTGCATATATATGCAAAGCCGCCCCCGACTTTCATTCCGCATGTGATTCCGGGCATAGAATATACCCCAAAGACCAAAGAGTTTAACCGTTATAGGTTTATAAGAAAATAGAAATAAGATAAAATGTCTGATATATCACGCTTGGTGAAAGCGGACGTTAAATATAACTTACACGTCGGAAAATTCCTATGAACTTTCTCGGCCAATGAAGGAATCGAACACGCGACCCCCAGGCTACCCACTTAGCCCCTGTGGCTCCCCATAAAGTTGTGTGTGTGTGAGAGAGAGAAATGGGGTTTAACGTCCACTCGACACAAACTAGGCCATTTCGGGACTAAAATATGTTTTAATTTCATTTCAATAATTCGCTTGCGCGTAGGGGTCTTGAGCAGTGGGAGGAAACCGGAGGACCCGGAGAAAACCCACGAGGTTGGACAGGTGACCCTACTCCTTGTCACGTACAACCGGGAATTTGAAACCACGTCAGTTGACTCAATGACAGAAATGATGTTACAGCGCACACCCGCTAACCATTCAGCCATCCAACCCCAGCGCCCCCCCCCCCCATAAAGTTGTGTTTGTGTTATTTCAAAGATGGGGGAGGTTGCGCACAGAGCAATTCTGAAAGTTTATACTTGACCTATTTCCATAGTCAAATATTTCTTGCTGTTCTATCTTATTCCCCCCACCCTCCTTTACACGTAATGTATTCATACTTTCGTTACAGTTTACAAAACACCACAACATAATATGATAATGGTGAAAGTTTATTATTCACAGTCTTTTTTGATTATATACACAACAGTACATACATTATAATTTATTAGTTACTTTACCCATCACTAGGCCTGTATCACCACCATAATATGTTCAAGTTGACCGTTTAATACTATTTTATAGTAAGATGATAATGGTACATATTTATTATAATTATATACACAACACGTAATTAATCTGATATAATGATAATGGTACATATTTATTATAATTATACACACAACACATACAATATAAATAATTTGTTATACTTAACCCATCACCAGGCCTGTAACACCACCATAATTATATACACAACACATACAATATAATTAATTTGTCACTTCGCACACCACTAGGCCTATATCACCACCACCAACAGGTTTATATATTGTTTAAAATTGTTTTATAGTAAGAATGTATGATTTTAATACCATTTTAACTCAATGTAATCAAACAGACTACTACAATCCTTGAGTGGTTTTAGCAACTAAGCACATTAAAAAAACACAACACAATTTATATGGAATACAGTCACTCGTTTATACACATATAGCACGAGGTTTCGACAAGTATTCTCCTATCATTTGCACTTGAAAACGATAAGAGAATATGTGTCGAAACGTTGTGCTATATGTGTATAAACCACATCCCAAACTTAGGCTGCCTGTCTATAGCTAGCTCCGCCTGAGAACAGGCCCTAACCTAATTAACCGACATTTTAATTCCTACATCGACGATTATAGTCAAAAACACTGAGTATGCGTTTAGAAATTTTTAGAAGTATTTATTTCTCTTCTATTTTCATACTGAATGAAATTTAATATGTTTATTTAGTCGTTGAGTGTATGAAAGGTGTCAAACACATCTGAGCCGTATCACGAAATAGTCCACTAATAATTCAATATGGCGGCACCCATGAAAGATACGTTCAGAGAAGACAAATTTTGGAGTATCTAACCTTGTTTTGAAAGAAAAACAGAAGGCAGTTTACAAAGATAAAGACTGTATTGCAATATTACCCATTAGCACATATTATATATCTCTTTTACCGGAGTAGCAGATATCGACACTTTGTTAACTTGACATATTTGTTTACATAAATCACGTGCTTCGGTTATAGAAACAAGTACCAGTCGATAAGCCCCACCCCAAAATGATCACGTGAGCGTTTTAAATGGACGTCATTTAGGGCAGTGATGTATTCTCGAGGTATGAAGTAGATGGACTGCTGTGCACAGTATGTATAAACCTGAGATTGTTTTCCACATGAATTGTGTTGTATTTTTTTAAGACTACTACAACCAGACTTTATCACCGGCTTCTACACCGTAATACGACAATGGTAGATTTTTTTTGTTGTTGTACCTGTAAATGTCCTTATCCTGTTTTACACTGTAGATACTAATAATATAAAGATCAACATCATCTCTACCACACTTTCTTCTATACTTCTCCTGTAGTATCTCTTCTAACTTTTTAACAGTTTTATCTCTACTAACACTTATAATGACATCACCACCACTGTAAATACAGGTACATATATATTACATTACAATACCTACCGCTATAGATGCAGGTAAATAAATATTATATTATACCTACTACTGTAGATACAGGTACATATATATTATACTTATATCACCACTGTATTTACCGGTAAATATATATACTATTCAAAAAAAGTAGGGGATATTTGATTTTGGGGGCATAATACTAAAATATGCAAATGACTACGAAAAAAGTCACTATAGAACCTAACAGAAGAAACATTTCCAGTGACATGTGACGCCCAAACGCACCAATAGCTACCGCATGGAATGCAGGTGATGCTTGGGATCATCATGGGGGTCCAACCCAAGATTTGCACGACTCTGACTTTGAATGTTACAGTCATTGTGGCATTGAATTCCAGGGTGGAAACATCAGTTTAATTGTTTTAGTGACCAGAAAACAAATTTTGATATGCGTCGGCTTACCCAAAATGAAAGGTTACGTTCCCTTGGCATGCTACAGATCGGCACAACACAGGCGGTTGTGGCGCGGACGATGAATGTTTCTCAGTCTGTCATAAGCAGGCTATGGTCCAGATACCGTGATACACAATCTGTACAGGACAGACCACGCTCAGGTCGATCAAGGGCGACAACTCAAGCCCAGGATCGATTTATCCGTACCTTGGCCTTGAGAAATCGTGTCATCACAGCAAATCAGATCAGCGCTCGTCTTCAAACAGACACTGGTGTGAGAGTGAGTGGCCAGACGATTCGGAATCGACTGCATAGGGGTCACCTTCGCGCCCGACGTCCTCGCGTGATCCCTTGTTTGAGAGATCATCACATTCAGGCAAGACGTCGTTGGTGTAGGGATCGTCAACACTGGGATAATCGACGCTGGAGCAATGTGATGTTTTCAGATGAGTCAAGGTTCACTGTTGATTTGGGGGTGGTTCTGTTATGGTGTAGGGAGGCATCACTGTTGCTGGAAGAACGGCTTTACATGTTGTTGCAGGGCGTGTTACAGGCCAGTACTACCGGGACAACATCTTGGCAGTCCATGTTGTGCCGTTCGCACGACGTCATGGCCGCCGTTTCATCTTCCAGGATGACAACGCAAGATGTCACAGGGCCAGGATCGTTACAGGTTACCTCCAACAACAGAACATCACCACATTACCTTGGCCAGCACTGAGTCCCGACCTCTCCCCCATCGAGCATGTCTGGGACATGCTTGGACAGAGGTTACGTCAACGTCAACAACGTCCTGCCAATGTCCAAGAACTTGCTGCTGCGTTGCAACATGAATGGGACAATCTGGACCAAAATGACCTTAGACGTCTCATTAGGAGTATGCCACGTCGGATTAATGCTTGTTTGGCAAACAGAGGAGGATTTACCCGTTACTGACTTGGTTGTGATGCTGTGGTAACTTTGCTGTTTGACCCCGGGTATCATTTTACCCTTATAAAGGTCAGTCTGTGCCTTACTTAGTCTAACGATCATTTGGAATAAATCGATGAATGTGAACTTCATTTCATTTTGTCATTTGTTTCTTCGTCAGTTTCATTAGGTGACTTTAATAACACTTAAAAATCAAATATCCCCTACTTTTTTTGAATTGTATATTATACTTATACCTACTACTGTAAATACAGGTAAATATATATTATACCTACTACTGTAAATACAGGTAAATATATATTATACTTATATCACCACTGTATATACGGGTACATATATATCATAATAGTTATATATCTACTATAACAGTACCACAGTACCACTGTAAATACAGGTAAAAAAATCTTATATTATAATACATGTAGGTGTATATCCACAATAATACCTACAATTGTAAATACAGGTAAATATATATTATATTATAATAGCTATATATCTGCTATAATACCTACGACTGTAAATACAGGTAAATATATATTATACAATAATAGTTATATACCTACCACTGTAATACAGGTAAATATACATTAGATTATAATACCCACCTTTATAGATACAGGTAAATATATTATAACTATGTTACTTGTGAACCGTATTATGTAGTTAAAGGGAATATAGAATACAAAAGAAGTTGAACAACATCAATGGCATTTACAATCTTCAATACACATCATGAAGTATCAAAGAAGATTTATTTTAATTATCAGTTTGATTAACACGTCAATAAAGACCAGGTATCTACTTACAGACCCTTTACAGTAAGAGTTATCATAGCATCCTTTTCTTTATTTATATTTTTATTTACTTTCTTGACTCCTGTTTTATCTTCCACAACTTTAACCCTTGACTTGAGTCTCTGTATCTCGTCAGTCTGCCTCTGTTTGTCTAATTGGAGTTGTTGTATTTCATTCTTCATCCTATCATTATCTTCTTTTAGTTGCTTGGTTGGTTGAATTTGTATGTTGTGCTCACCTATTTGTACATTACAAGGGTGGTGGAAATTAAGACTTTGTTGGTTGACAACTGGCTGAAGTGACTGTAAACATTAAAAATATTTTATTTAGTCAGTGAAAGTCAACACACAATTCATACCAGTTTACATATATATGGAATCATATTTACATCGCACACTGCTAGCAATCGTTCATTCATGGGGATAAGATACTGATGATGCACAAAGTAATAATGGTGGGTGTGCTCTAACATGGTGATAAGATGCTAATGCTGTATGTTTACATATATTTACATCGCATGCTGCTAACAATCGTTCAATCATTGTCAATCATGAAGATAAGATACTGATGATGCACACAGTAAGAATTGTGGGTGTGCTCTAATATGGTGATTGTTGTTTTTCTTAGCCCTTAACGTCCGCTTCCACCGAAGGTGAAATCGCAGACAAGTCTTATTTTTCATTAGTGTACGCGCAGGGGTCTTTCCTGTGGGAGGAAACCGGAGTAAATCGACGAGGTTGAGAAGGCGCCCCTATCTCCAAGCCACATACGCTCACACCAGGGATCGAAACCACAACCGCAAGTCAGAGGTGACCGGCCAGCTAGAGGCTGAAGCGCGGCACTCTAGACCACTAGGCCATCCAACCCCATTATATGGTGATTAGATACTAACGGTGTGTTTTAGTGGGGCTCAACCCTTTTTTGCCAACGGCACACCTTAGAACACGTGAAAAAAAATAGCGGCACACCTGGCTAAATGTATAAGAAAAATATTTGAATTTTGCAAAATAAAAAGATGATAAGTCAGGCGGCATACAACCGTGAACACAGCCTAGTCATAGACACATAGAATGACTCAAACTAAATTAAGAAAAACACAGCTATGAACCTTTTAGTAGACTCCAATGAATACTAAATTAGGATCACATGGTTATTCGCATTTTCTTAGTGGGCCGATCAAAATTTCGCGGCACACTTAGGAAGATCCTGTGGCACACTGGCTGAGAAGCCCTGGTGTATATAGTAATAATGGTAGGCGTGGTCCAGCATGGTGATTAGGTACTAATGGTGTATAGTAATATTGGTCTTTAATTGTCTATTTTGTGACGAATATAAAGATTGCCACACGCTAAATCTAGAAACATTGGGGATATACTCAAGAAATCAGGATTAATTTACAGTCATTTTTTCCAAGAAGTGGAGTGACCTATCTAACCTCGTGTGTTTTTTCTGGGTTTTTTTTTATCAGGGTTGCTCCCATTGTTAAAGCCTTCAACACCCAAATGAACTGTGGGATAAAGATTTCCATACATAAGTCTTGAAACGATTGAACTTGTATTGTGAGACACGGTCGTTTGTTGGTGAGGCCACGTCTGCTTGTACAACCGATTGTGATATAGTTGACGTCGAATGGGCGTATATCCAATTCAATCATTTCCACTTTCTTTATTGGTCTTTGTCAAATTCGCAAGCATTTATTATAACAGGCTACTAGGCTAGTGCCGTTTGTAAATCTCAATTCAGGGACGTGATAATAAACGAATAATCCGGTGATTACTGCCGTCTTCATTAGCCCAGTTTAGGAGCAGAACAGTAGGACGTTAAACCCCATTTCATTTTATTTCATTTCCGATGACTACTGTTAATACTACGGCATGTTTTCAAAACACGACAACTTCGATGATTTCCGACATTTCGCTTTGTCACAGAACGCCCGAAATAGCTTTAATCTCTAAGTCACACCAACTTTCCCGAAGACCGAAGAAATCTTAACGATCCGACATGTAGTTTCTGAGATACAATCAAATTGGAAAAACAAAAATAATAATAAATAGAACTGCGATGCAGTAATGACGGGTTTCAACGGTGCCTCATTACACTTCAACTTATGTCACCTCCAGTGCCACGTTACTCTTCAACTTCCGGTACAAATGAAAACGTTCAACAGATTTCCACATAAGCATTGCACAGGTGTTTTCAAAAGAACTTTCGACAAGTCAAAATTGAAGTTTTGGGCAAAATTGCGTCACTTCCGGTGCCGACAGAAAGTTTTATCGGTAGAAGAAAGTTGTGAATTTGTACCACGGAGCATATGGGTTTAGTCTTTTACATAGTCTACTCTTCTCCATGTCTAGTGTCCTTGAGCCCATATCAAACGCCGCTGACGGTGATGATCCCTGAGGATAGCTCCAACATAAGGTCGTCGTGCACGGAGTCCTACTTCTCTTAGACGACGTCTTACGGTGTTGGCACTTACTGGTCCTTGTCTTCCGACGACTGCTGCACCTGTTCGAGTCGCTGGGCGGAATCTGTCACACAGATGAGTGACCCGGATGTAGCGGTCTTGAGCCTGGGTTGTAACGCGTTGTGGACCAGGACGTTGACGGTCACGTGTTGATCCAGTAACTCGAACACGTTCCACCAACCTTACAATAGTGGACTGATGACAATGAAAGTGTCTGGCAATAGCACGTGTAGACATGCCAGCCCTGGGCATTTCCCATGGCTTCATTCCGTTGATTTTCAGTAAGTCTCGGCATCTCTAGGGAAAAAAAGTGATGCGTTTTCCATGGCGCTCCGAAGTTCTGGAGAGTTGATTATGGGCCTGGTATGTAAATACATGTCGCATTAATTATTTATATAACATTTGAAGTCAAAGGAACGATCTGCAATATGCAAATTTAGCTCTAAAAAAATGCATCTTTAACCAGCATAACATCCTTTATACTCAGTTATTATAAAATCCCAATACGTTTCACATTTAGCATGATTAAACATTAGCGATAAAATCTCAATACATTCCATTACCTTCAGTATGATTTTATTTTAACGATAAAATATTAATGTACATGGATGATAATTCGGCAGCCATTTGATTGTGACTTAAAAATTTCATTCAACTTCACGTATCCTTTCAAACGGTTCAGTCGCAAAAATTAATAATTTATATATTTTGTTTGATAGAAAGGTATTTTCACATCTACAAAAGAAATTGTGTTCAATTTTTTCGAAATGCAATACTGATTTCATACATGGCATATCGAATACAAAAGAAGCTGATATGAATCTTATATTTATTTGTATATGTTGCTATGTATTATATCATAATGTTGCTATGATAAATATCATATGAAATACGAATACAAAGCAAGCTTGTGTGAATATTTCATAGTTTGATTGTCTATTGTTGCTATGTTGAAAAGTGAAGTAACCATATATCAACATTGTTATGCATACTGCCTCAGATTTATTTTGTTTTGTTTTGTTTTTAAAGATAATGTCCCGCAATATGATCAAGCAAAGATGGTCACCCTAGACGTGAGGTTGTCGGATTTACTGTAGAAATGGTTCCACTACTGATGTCGCGCGTCTTGCCTCAAGATATAGTGATAATTAATAATTGTAGCGGCGAACAAGTCGGGCGACGCTACAATATTGAAGCTAGGTTTACTGTATTCCCGCAATCTGTTGAATTACACGGACATATTATATGTCACATATATGTTAATCTTACTCACCATATCAGACATCATGATGTTGTTATAGTAACAGATTTAATAAACACAACTTTCTTCTACTCTGATCCTTCAAATCACCAGAAAGGGCGAGACAAACGGGAAAATCTCCAACAAGGAAATCCCGTCTATTTACGGCTATGATCTAAGCGCTGTAGACAATATTATGCTGGTCTTGTGTTTTGTGGTTACAAGTTAATAACATGATAGTCAAGTCTACCATTACGTCAACATATTATTAAATAATGGGAATACCCACAATATAAACCGGTTAGACCAGTTTATAAACTTTACATATTTAGACTAAATTTCCTTACAACGTAACTAAAACCTAACCCCTGTTCACTGTGATTAGTAAACGATATGTTTGGTTGGAAATATTCTGATATTTAGGTATCCTATGAAAATCTAACAGAAAACTAGTTTTATTTGTGCGATCAATCTACGGATAAAGGCAAATAACTCAGGATGCAGACCACTATTTCCAAATTCATTTTAATGTTAATACTGTTATCCCTGCCCGTCCTCTACTTTTCCCCAAATATTCGGACGGCTGACCACAAACGGAACAATAACTGGCCATGTATTTACTGCAAACACCTATATACCCCAGTTTATTTATTAGTCTTATACCTATATACCTCTATATACCCCAGTTTATTTACTAGTCCTATATCTATATACCCCAGTTGATATACGTACTAGTCTCATACCTATATATCCCAGTTTATATAACAAAGTTTAGTTACTAGTCTTATACATATACACCTCAGTTTATTTACTAGTCTTACACCCATATACCCCAGTTTATTTACTAGTCTTATACCTATATACCCCGGTTTATCACTGGTCTTATACCTATATACCCCAGTCTATTTACTGGTCTTACACCTATTAGACCAGGAGCCCAGGGGGTCAACCTAGCTAGGCTAGATTAGCTGAAATCTGTACCACCTAAAACAGCTTTGGAGTTGTTCAGTACCACTACAGGAATCATGAATGACCACTGCCAGACAGTTTGTGCGGTGGGTTACCCCTAACAGACACGCCCAAAATTTCACGGTCCCCCACTACGATAGATTAACCGGCACTGTTCCCGTGGTCCAAAAAATTAGAAATTGTACCAGGATGCGTAAAATACTAATACCTAGCACATATGGAAGAGGCGATACAATTTCTTTTTTAAAAAACTCATTTTTAGCCCCGTAAAACGCACCCACCACCAGAAACCCGGCAGACTAACATTCTGATGATACCAGATATACATGCATTGATACCATATAGGAGAAAATTGGTACACTTTTCAGCTAGGTTGACCCCCTGGGCTCCCGCTCTATATATACCCTAGTTATTACCGGTCTTATATCTTTATATCCCAGTTATTACTGGTCTTATATCTATATATCCCAGTTTATATAACAAAGTTTAGTTACTAGTCTTATACATATAAAACCGGGCAAAATTTCCCCTATAGCAAACTCCTTGGCGTATGTCCGTCGTCATTAGTGAAATCGGTGCAGAAAAGTTTGAGTCAAACCCATTGCATTTCCTTCCATTTGTTCCTTTAAACCACATTGATTGTATTTCATTTCATTTCGTTTCACAATTCAACAGTCTTTATCATATTATCAATATTTATCAATAAATAAATAGAGCTCTTGAAAACCATATTGTTGTAAATCCATGTTTATAGTTTTATAACATGACTAATACAGTATAAACCCACGCATAGAACTATAACAATACTAATACAGTATAACATCGGTATCCTGGGCCCTGATTCACGAAATCTTAACTAAAGATAAAATCCAAATTTTAGTAGATACTTCAATTTTGATTGACTAAGCACTAAAATCAATCTAATATTATCCAATCAAATTACTAAAATTTGGATTTTATCTTAGTTACGTTTTCGTGAATCAGGGCCCAGGATACCGATGTTATACTGTATTAGTATTGTTATAGTTCTATGCGTGGGTTTATACTGTATTAGTCATGTTATAAAACTATGCCCCCTCCCCCCATGATTTTGATCGCCAGGACAGATTTCAGGTTTATATCCACATGATGGTGAGCTTGTTTTTACGTATCTGGAACTGAATCGGGACTTTGAACAAGAATTGTCATTCTTCAAGCGCCAGTTTTTGGCCAAATCTATTTCACTTGTGCACGAAGCGTTCCTCATTATGTCACCTGAAGTGAGGCATATGTCCCCTTCTGTCGAAGCTCTTCTCATCTTACACTGCTGAACCCTACGAGCAAGCGAATTAATGAAATAAAATTAAACCATATGTTAGTCCCGAAATGACCTAGTTTGTGTCGAGTGGACGTTAAACCCCATTTCTCTCTCTCTCTCTCTCTCTCTCTCTCTCTCTCTCTCTCTCTCTCTCTTTATGCCTTAAATGTTATATATACATATTAAATTTTCATTACCTATTTTTAATTAGGACTTATTTATCTTTAAATTATTAGTGACGTCCGTCTTCATTAGCCCATTTCATTTCATTTCATTAGTAAGTCTTCTATGATCATTTTCTTGATTTACAAACGTGTACTGTAACAAACGTGTACGTGTACTGGGTAGTTTACTTTGATTTCTTATACACACAGTTACAATCCATCATAACTTTTTAAATACTTGGTCATGATCGTTATCTCAATCTGTTTAGCAACAGTCGAAAGTAAGAAACTGCGTCATTTGGGGGATAATATGCTTCTAGTCAAGCACAGCGATGAAGTACTGCGGAACTGGATACGGAGGACCTAATCTTCTAGACTCTTGACCAAACTCGATTAGTTATGCGACTTAGTGGCTCGGGATTCCTGGTTTATATTCAAAATCTAAAGTGAGTGATTTCCTATAGCAGGAGGTACATCAGTGGAAAGACTTTGATTCATATAAAATGTCACGTAAAATAAGTAAACATAACAAACAATTCAGCAGAGTGCACTGTTAAGTTGTCTACGGACTACATTAGTGCAGCAAAAAACGAGGAACACTATAAAAATGTATTCCAAGTTGTGAAGCATGATCGGACACTAAATCCTTATCTACGAAAAAAAACCCAAACAAATCCCGCGGAATAGTAAAATTACCATTTGCTCACAGCAATTAAAACTCTTGTGCCATAATATGATGAATGGGTAAGACGTTGGCCGAGAAAGTTCATCCAGATTTTACGGCGTGGTTCGCCCTTGTCAGTGATGCAGAACGGAGTGCCTGACAAGGACAGCTGTCTAGTCGTTCGGATGGAACGTAAAAGATCCCTTGACAGCTGGAATTCTATATAAGAGTAGGCCGTAGTGCCGCTGTCCGGGCAAAATTTACCTCTTAGCAAACTGTCGTATGCCCTTCTTCATTAGCCCATTTCGGAGCAGAACAGTAGGACGTTAAACCCCATTTCATTTCATTTCATTTCTATATTGTACCAAACGATACTGTCGTTCATGTAAGTTTTCTCATATTTATGTGGGGCATTTAGGAAAACTTCACTTACGATGTATCAATTATTTATTTTCTATGAAAAGTAAACCTTAAAAAGCGTTTAAATATCAAATTGTTGTCAGTTGTCTTTTTTATTGTTAGGGATCACGTGGCTAAGTGGGTAAGATGCTGGGTCGCTAGCTTGGTGAACGGGTGTTCCCTGCTTTGGCCGAGAAAGTTCATCCCGATTTTCCGGCGTGGTTTCCCATTGTCAGTGATGCAGGACGGAGGGTCTGATAAGGACAGCTGTCTAGTCGTTCGGATGGTACGAAAACCGAGTCGCCGTGTACACGTAAAATATCCCTTGGCATTTGGAATTCGATATAAGAGTAGCCCGTAGCGCTGTAGCCCGGGCAAAATTTCCCTCATAGCACACTGTATGTCGTATGCCTGTCTTCATTAGCCCAGGTTAGGAGCAGAACAGTAGGACGTTAAACCCTATTTCATTTCATTTCATTTCTTTTTATTGTTATGTGAAATTTAGTTCATAAATGTCACGTGGAAACATAGAAAGTGTTAAAAGCAATCTGATTTAAACACAGATACTATTTCGTTTCGTTTTTTTAGTTGTCTTTACTACACTAGGACATGGTTGATGTGAGACTTTAGCCAATAAAACGATCTGTTGCAGCGATCTCTTGGCGTGCGATGCACGGAACTGTGGGTATCCGGCTAGAAACATCAACGCTGACATCTGACGTCATAGGTTCAAACGCCGCTTGAATGACCCCTGGCGCGTCCTGCCACTAAAACTGGTCAGATCTCCATGTAATAGAGGCCATAGAAAGAATAAAAAAAAACGAAACGAAATATAGATCTGTATTTTAATCAGATTGTGTTAAAAGTTGATGTTGACACATTTTCAATGAAATTTTTACATTATTGTTTTTTCATCCGGTCTCATAATAAAATCAGCTAGCAGATGCAAAATATTGATCGTGGGGCATAATATTATAATACATTATATTTACCTATATTTACAATGGTGATATAAGTAAAATATATTATATTGACAAGTGTAAGTAGTGATAAAGAGAGAGAGAGAGACAGAGAGACAGAGAGAGAAATGTAGTTTAACGTCCACTCGACATAAACTAGGTCATTTCGGAAAACCAACGAGGTTGGGCAGGCGACCCAACGCTTTGTCGCGTACAACCGGGGAATCGAAACCACGCCAGTTGACTCAATGGCAGACCTCACGATAACCCTTCCATTCTTCTACGTAGACTTCAATTTAAATTCGGTATTTGTGGCTCTGCATTAAATCTTTTAGAGAGCTATCTTGTGGGTAGAAAACAGTGTATTTTAGTTAATTGCAAATCGTCGTCTGAATCTGTTTTGTCATCTGGGGTTCCCCAAGGTTCTGTTCTTGGTCCGATTTTATTTACCCTCTATACGTCACCATTAGGAGATATTGTCAGAAAATATGGTCTCAGCTTTCATTTGTATGCCGATGATACTCAATTATATATTTCATTTACACCTAATTGTCCATCTTCTTTCAATTTATCAAAATTGCAACTTGAGAACTGTATTAGTGAAATTAGAAAATGGATGTCAAAGAACTTTCTAAAATTGAATGATGATAAAACCGAATATTTGTTATTAGGCTCAAGGCATCAATTAAGTAAATCTGCACAAGATAACCCCCCTGTTGTAATTGGTAATTGTGATATATTTTCATCTTATTCTGCTAGTAATATTGGC